CCTTAGGTCAAGTTACTGGGCTATAAACTTGGTGGATTTCGTTGTCTTTCCTTGGGTCAAGTTACTGGGCTATAAACTTGGTGGATTTCCTTGGGATTACAATGAGGCTACAAGACATGATTCAGTTTGCTTACTTTGGTTCTCTGCCAGACGAACTTTGTTTATTGATATTTGTTGTTCAAATTGTTCTGATTAAAAATACGAGATACGTGAAATCGAACCATACTTAAACAATAATAAATAATTCTGAAGTTATTTTAATATTATAATTCTATGTTATTACAGTCACAAACATTGACACGGAATCGAAAGCTGGTGCCGAACATGCTCGGCCTTTCAGCTGTGGGACATTATACTGTGACGGTCAATCTCACTTTTCGTTGGTAAAAGAGTAGCCTAAGAGTTGTACGAACAAACAGACAAATATTGAATGAATATTCGTAACAATAAATTAACAATATACAATTTACAAAACCTTTCGCAATATTCATGCCCGAAGCTGGTCCGTAGACTTATTACTATTGTATACGTTTTAAATTATTATTTTTAGCGATATTGTTTAATGAAACGGGGACTCAGCTTTCATGCATACAGACGCTAATTTGCAAAACAGGCCAAACTTCATTGTTCGTAACAGTCTGTATATGTTGTGAAACCATAATATACAATTGGTCTCTGCTTTTGGAACTCAGGTTAACATGTACACACCAATATGCGTTTATTTATTAATACCCTAAATATTTGGATTATATCAATTGATAATTACGTGTAGTGTTAGGTAAATAAAGTAAAAATGTTTCGATAGATACACAGTAAGTAAAAAATGTATGTTAGTGCTACGGCTTTCCAGAAAATAACTAAATTAAATCTGATTAGTAACTTAATTCGTGCGGTTGTTGATATAATGCATTATGTATGAAACATTTTTTTTTTTCATTTTGCATGTAGCTACTATATACCTAAATGAATTTTCTGCATAAATGCTTTATGTATCTATATAAATGTTTAAGTGATATGATGAAAGTCTTATATGCCGTAATAAGAATGACTGTAACATATATATATTCCTGCATGACATTTTCAGTTATGTTACAAAGGTGTAAATAGATATACAATAAAAAATCAGTTGGAAAAGAAACATTTTTAGCAGGTATATAATTATCTATCCACAAAACTTCACACATTTATTGCTTTCCTTATGGTTTCACGGTCTTTCCTTTTCCAC